GCAGATCTACAGTAGTGGCACCAATTATTGTTCAGTGCTTATTTGAAGACACTAAAGTAGACCATTTGCAGTTTGAACACTGTTTAGTGAACAGGCGACTCTCCCTCCACAGATTAGGAGCCCTCACAGAGCTCTCAGTACTTATTTCAGTGAATGCACAGCACTAACACTCCCAAGTTCAAAAAAATGAGCAGGGTGCTCACACTTCCGAGTTCAGGGATTCTTTGAGATTGAATTTTACAAATTTGTAACATGTTGTGATTTTGCAAAACTTGAAATGCAAAGCTGGTTTAATGAATTGCACTTAATTTGAAGAGAACAGATGAGAATGATGCCATTAGAAGTGATATCACTAGTGAAACAATAGATGTCTTAACCTGCATTGGGAGTGACATCATCAACTAGCCAACCTCATGGCAAGATAGCCAGATGGTTCAACAAAAAATGCAAGTATGTATACGGGCCACTAATTACACTACCAAACCAGTATCTGATGACTGATGGAGTATTGTTTGGTGGACATGCATTATTAATAGATTTATTCATAGGAAGGATGACAAATGGGTGTCACTTCTTAGTTTACAAAGCGTGTGAAGATACTCTCATGGCTTCTGGATTTTATCTGATGCAATGATATTGCTTGCCAGACAGATGCTGGGCCTTCCAAGAAATCACCTCACTGCCGTTTCTGACCCAGAGTTTAACCTGTATTTGGTGTGCGGGGAAAGAAAATATGTTCGGGGGTAAAGGTGTTGACTGAGCAAGATCTGCTTCCAACAAATGGGACAAACTGTCTTCCTTTGTCCTTCAAACTTGGAAGCATTATGAGCAGTGCAGAGGATACTATAGAGCTTCGAAAGGCCATATCCAGGGTGGTGAAATGAGCAGATAGCAGCAGATGAAATCCAACAAAGAGGTGTGCAATGATCTGTTTTGTTAGGAAGAACATGGAGGCACAATATAAGATAAAGGATGCAGGGGAGGCAGTGGCTAGTGGTGTTATCACTAGACTATTAATCCAGAAACTCAGTTAATATTCTAGGGACCTGGGTTGAAATCCTGCCATAGCAGACGGTGGAATTTGAATTCAATGAAGAAACTGGAGTTAAGGGGCAAGGTTCTAATGATGACCATGAAAACATTGTCGATTGTCAGAAAAACTCTTCCGGTACACTGATGTCCTTTAGGGAAGGAAATCTGTTATCCTTGACTCGTCTGGCCTACATGTGATTCCAGACCTACAGCAGTGTCGTTGACTCTTAACTGCTCTCAAGGCAATTAGGGATGGGCAGTAAATGCTGGCCTAGCTAGAGACACCTCCACCCTGTGAGTGAATATAAAAAAAATCTATAATGTGACATAAGAGCAGAGGGACCTGAGTGCATACGTGTAAGTTATTGAAGGTGGCAGGACTGGTTGAAAGCATGATTAGTGAAGCACATAGCATCCTAAACTTTGTTACTGTTGGCACGGGGTATAGAAGCAAGGAAGTTATATTAAACTTCTACAGAGCTCTGGTTCAGCCTCAACTGAAGTATTATGTCTGGTTCCGGACACCACACTTTAGGAAAGATGTGAAAGCAGTAGAGAAGGTGCAGAAAAGATTCAGGAGAATGGTTACAGGATGATTGCTTTGTCTAGAACTGCTTTCTTTAGAAAAGAAAAGGCTGAGAAGAGATTTGTTAGAGATGTGCAAAGTTCTGAGAGGTCTAAACAGTGTAAATGGGGAAAATCTGTTCCCATTGGTGGAAAGATCAAAAACAGACTTGATGTAATTGGCATAGATTTAAAGTAATTGGCAAAACAATCAAAGGAAACATAAGGGGAACCTTTTTAATGCAGCTCGTGCATAGGATCTGAAATGGACTGCCTGAGCGTGTGCTGGAGGCAGTTTCATTGGATGCATTTCAGAGAGAATTCAGTTATCGTCTGGAAAGGAAGGATGTTTAGGGCCACTGGAAGAAAATTGGCAAATGGCACAAGATAAATTGCTTTCAGAGAACCAGTGCAGACACAGTGGACTGAATGGCTACAGTGCAGAAGGAAGTCATTGTGTCATTGTATCATTTTATTTGAATTATGATACCTCCACCCTCACCAACTGCCCTCTCCAATGTTCTCAATCTGCTGAGTTACTGACTGTCTGTCTCCCTGTACCTAAGCATGTGACCATATGCCTCTCTGCATTCTCTGCATTTTCCCCTTCCCCACTCCCAATTCTCAGTCATTCTTCCCTAGAACCACCTCCCCACCAAGCTCTGTCCATGTGTGACCACAAATAACATGCATATGCAACTGTGGTGGAGCATTGGGACAGCATTCAGCTACAGGTGCCCCTTATGTGTGTGCATTCATGGGGGAGTTGGTATGTCTTGCATAAAACAAATTTGATAATTTCCCAGAGAAATAGAATTCAAATCAAGAAAATTCTCAAACATGCACAGAAACTTGTTTAGCCAACACTTATTTTATGCACAGTTGTGACCTCCATATTTGAAAGAGAATATAGAAGAAAAGGAGAAATTGCAAAAGATAATTTACAAGCTTAGATACTACCAGAATTGAGAAGAAAGCTACCAGAAAAATCCCAACAGGCAGGGACTCTTTTCTCCATTTAAGAGAACAAAGTACCCACTGTTATGATGAAGTTCAGCAAGATAACAGATGTTTCTGCTTGTGGAGGAGTCCAAAACGAGGACAAAAAAAATTGTTGCTAGAATCCATTAAAGAATTCAAGAGTTACTTCTTTACCTAGAGAGTGGTGGAAATGTGAAACTTGTGCCATATGAAATGGTTGAGTACTGAAAAGTGAAAGAAGTAGAAGGATGTTCTGATGGGATGAGAGGGATTAAAATATTTGGAGAGATGTGGGAGTATGCACATAGACCTTTTAGGCCTGTTTCTGTGTTATAATTTGTAAGTAATTTTGGAACTGAGGCTAAGTTATTGAAAGTAAATCAAGGAAAAAGTTGTTCATGTGGATAGAACATGAATAGCTCTGGCCCAGAAAACCATAGATGTGAAGTCAATTGATGTGGTTAAAAGGAATAAGGACTATAGTAAGGGCGCACAGAAAGGTTAATTCAGATTATAAAGATGGAGCTGCCACTTCTAACAAGAGTGGAATAAACTGTTCTGATAGCCTAAGTGCCCTATTGTGGTTCCAACGTAATAGTCCCGATTACTTTCGAATATCATTTTTGTGTTTTGTAGGGAATGGTTGTATTTGCTCTGTCATGAAATGCTGAATCCATACTATGGACTATTTCAGTATTCAACTGATAACATCTACACGCTACAGATTAACCCAGATTCTGCAGTTAACCCTGTGAGTATCTAAAGTCACTGTGAAAGTTGAATAAAAGCAAACTGTTCTGTAAGTGATCAAAACAATTCAGAACATTGACTTTTCATCGATATAAGCTTCCTCTGTAAAGCAAGTATATGCTGCAAAGTTCAACTGCCAGAAATAACTCCATGTATAATTTTTGAGTGACCTTATCTCTCATTCCAAAAAGGAACTTAATTAGTTGGAAGAGTTAGACTACCTAGGTCTGGTAGACTACCCTGTAGTTAGCTTATTTTCAGTACCATTTGATTTCTGTAAAATTATAATACAGTGATTAAATTTTTCCTCTGGACAGTTCTTATTTCTTCTCGCAAAAACAAGTAATGGAAGGGTCTTCGCAGAGCATTAACCGATTAGTGATCAACTATGACTATTTAATACTTATACTTGTATTTCTATGGAATGTATCTGTTTGAGTTTAGAAGTGAATTTCACATTCTTGAACTAACAGCTAAGTTATTGCGCATAGAGAAATATATTTTGAAAGTTGAAATTCATGACTGTTCAGGTTGACTCTACAATTCCCAAGTAAGGTACTTGTCACCAGATAAGAAGCCACATATGGGCCTTTACTTGTGGCATAAATAATCAGCTCAGCTGTGGCCAGGAGTGTTTGCGGCTTCCCCTTCCAACAGCTTTTATGTTATGCTGCTGGTGCCGCTTCTTCCTCTGCAAGTGCTACTGAAAACCGCCCTTTAGGTCAATTGTGATGTCCCTGAAGGCAAAAGTACAGCCTCATTCACATAGTTACGCCACTGAAATCATGGTCATCTTCAGCAATGCTCTAAAGTAAATGGAAGACATGGTGTAAATCATTTTCATTGATATATGGTCTGTTAATTTGTATGCTAGATTGACCCTTTTACCCTAACCCTTCTAAATTAATTTCTACCTAGGCCTAAGCTGAAATACTTTGTTTTGTTGAGAATATGTTCTATTTGATGGGTTGTATGAACTTAGACTCTGGCTTTGTTTGATTTTGCATTAATGTTACAAAGTTCAGTAAGGCATTAAGAAAGGTTGGTTTTGTGAATGCTTCTGGTGTTATTACTTGTCAGCCACAGGATGGCAGTCTTTTACTTCTTATCAAACAAGTGAATGTCTCTTTTTCACAGGAGCATTTGTCGTATTTTCATTTTGTGGGTCGGATAATGGGACTGGCCGTATTCCATGGACACTATATTAACGGGGGCTTCACATTACCATTTTATAAGCAGCTCTTGGGTAAACCAATCCAGTTATCAGACTTGGAAACTGTGGACCCAGAATTGCACAAGAGCCTGGTTTGGATCCTGTGAGTTGAGCTAATAGAATTGCTTCACTGTAGGATTAACTCTTCAGATTTTCCTTCCTGACTGACGTTCGTGGCTGCATATCTCGGCAGAAAGTACCTAAGGCGGGTGCTTAAGAATATTACTTTAGGAAAAGATGCATTGACATTTCTTAGGAACAGATTTTGCTATAAATGATAATAAAGAGCATAATTTTAACTTCTTTAATCTAGAAGGAGTTGGTGCATAAAGGTAACTCTTCATAGTTCAGTTCAGAAACTGTAAGATTCATGCCATTATTTCATAAATCACAAATGATAAAGGATTATACCTTTAAGTTAGCTTTGTCATCTCTCGATTTGCACCCGTGAAGTTCTTAAAGGGACAGTCAGACTAAATGCAAGTAAGGGTGTTTTTTCCTGGTTGGTGAATCTAGAACCAAAGGGCACAACTTAAAAATAAGGGCGGGGGGATGCCATTTAGGACTGACATGAGGAGTCATCTTTTTACATAGGCTTGCATAGGAGGACTCGATCTCTGAGAATGTTTTAGGTAGAGGTTGATAGATTTCTAATTGCCAATGGCATAAAGGGTTATGGGGATGGTGTGAGCAAAAGGCATTGAAATGTTTGATCAGCCATGATCATAGCAAATACCGGAACCTGTTCAATGGACTGAATGACCTACTGTTGTTCTTGTATTTTTGAGATTTCATGTCTATTTAGAGTATATTAGGATTCTGTAAAATTCTCAAATTATATGCAACTTCCAGCATCTCATTGTGATGGATGATGAGCATGTTAATCAGGGGTTATTCAAAGCTTTGATTTACCTACGCATCAACACTAAGCACTTGTGTAAGTAGGCTGGTAGTATTTGAAGTCTAAAAAGAAATTGTCTTTGCTGTAATAGAGCAAAGTAATTTGCATTTGATATTTTACTAAATTATCCAGCTAATTGCTTTTTTTACTATTATAGTGAAAATGACATCACACCTGTACTTGATCATACATTTTGTGTTGAGCACAATTGTTTTGGCCGGATTATTCAACAAGAGCTGAAACCAAATGGCAGAAATGTACCTGTTACAGAGGAGAATAAACGAGAATATGTAAGGTCAGTGATTTCTTTTCTTGTTACTAGTAGTGGAGTGGGAGCTTTGCTGCTTTTTGATGCGCAGTTTTGAAATAAATGTTCTGTGAGTGCTAAGAAGTGTCTCATGACATTTTTCTCTCTGGATTTTTGAAATAATGCATCTTGAATAAGTAGTATGATATCAGAAAAATATTTTCTCCTGTCTTGAAAGATTAGGACTCTGATTTTGCACTTCAGACATATGACTTTCAAGTCTGGTGTGTATTCTGAAAGGATTCAGCAGCCAGACAGTGATTTTTTGGCGAGCTGAAATCTGTGTCTGAGATGCCAAACTCAGAAACACTTTTTTTCATTAATTCAGAAGTTGAAAATAATAACTTCCTAAATAATTCTTTACAAACAAGATAATTATAAAAAGGAACAATAGGTGTTAATGAAAAGTCATCAATTAAGTAAATTACGTAGATTGTTCATGGGCTCAATGTTTCTAATGTGCTAATGTTTCTTTTGTGTTTTGATTCAAGATGGAGAAAATTGAGCACATTAGGAACCCAAATATGACGACTACTTAAATTATTCACCATCTCAACTATAGTTCTTAAGATAAAGGATTGGTTTTGTAGCCCAATGTTACAATTCGTCCTTTGAACATTGCACACAAAATCTATTCTGGCATTGCTTGGCTGCTTTCCAGATTATTCCATTGTGCTGCTTTTATTAAATTACTATTTATAGCAATACATTTTCCATCAATAAATTATGTAGAACTCTGAATATTAACATTGACCATACATCCTTACATGTAATTTAATCTTTTCATACAGGTCTGTTTAAACTGGTATGTAATTTTTACAAATTGAAATGGCTTTGCAGTTAATACATTCTGAACTTGACCCCATTAATTTATCTCACCTTGTGTTTAGGCTTTACGTGAATTGGCGGTTTATGAGAGGAATCGAGGCACAATTCCTGGCTTTGCAGAAGGGATTTAATGAGCTTATTCCACAACATCTACTTAAACCTTTTGATCAGAAGGAAATTGAGGTAACAGTCTTGTTCACATTTAATGAAAATTTAGATAGTTGAACACAAAATATTTAATAGGTCCTAATTCCTTGACTTCTTTTCTTTCTGGTTGGCCTGGTACGACATATGGGAATGTATTGACATGATTAAGAGTTTCAAAATAAAGTCCACCCACTGAGGAACTTTAATATAGTGAGTCTTGATCTGCCTGGTATATGCATTATTCCCAGAAAAACCCGATCTAAGATTAGAGTATTTTGGTACAAGTTGGCATGGCGTGAGGCCTCCCATGTATGGACATTGCTAATATTTATCTAGCTAAAGCCATTCAGGTTTTCCAGCATACTGGTAATCTTTCCACTGTTCATTCAACCAGTCCCACTATACCTTGTAAATTCATCTGATTGGTCAGTCATCATTTGCATACTGAAAGACTTTGAACCCGTCTGGCAGAGATTTGTTATGATGGTAACAAAAGAAGGAATTGCTGAAAAAACTCAGCAGGTTGGCAGCATCTGTGGAGAGAGAACAGAGTTAATATTTTGGATCCAGAGGCCCTTCTTCTGAAAAAGAAGTTCTGAAGAAGGGTCATTGGACCTGAAACATTAACTCTGCCTTCTCTCCACAGACACTGCCAGATCTGCTGAGTTTTTCCTGCAATTTCTTTTTGTTTCTAATTTCTGGCATGTGCGGGTCTTTGATTTACAGTATTTGTTATGATGGCGTTAGCCATTTGTGTCTTCCTTTACAGTTTAATTTAGTACAGTTTGCCCTGATGTGTTTCAGAAATGCTTCATTTGTGCCTCGATGAGATGTTCAAGACGCTTGTGTTTAGTTTTATAACTTTATGGGTGAATTTCATGGTAATAATAGTCTTGAAACACTTACATCTGATAAGTTATTTAAGTTTTAGCTGGTTTTGTCAGGCAGATTTGTTTACCATTTGTCTAAGTACTTTATGTGACTGAATTCTGTACTTAAGTGCAACAAATGCCAGTTATTTAAACATTGTGTAGACACCAGATAGTGTATGTAAAGAATATGTGCATTTAATTTTATTTTCTGCAGCTGATTATTGGTGGGTTGGGAAAGATTGACATTAAGGACTGGAAGGCCAATACACGTCTGAAGCACTGTACATCTGACAGTAATATTGTAAAGTGGTTCTGGCAAACAGTAGAGATGTTCGATGAGGAAAGGAGAGCACGACTTCTTCAGTTTGTGACCGGATCTTCCCGGGTACCTCTGCAGGGATTCAAGGCACTACAAGGTGGATATCATAAAACCATAATCTGCTATAAGCAAGTTGATCTGCTTGGTTTTATTTTGCCATATAGGTGTGAGCTTGTGCAGTGAATTCTCTATAAATAAAGTGATAAATAAAAATGGTGATACTTTGAAATTCACATGCAACACAGTGGGACAGAAAGTTATGTTTGTATTTAATTACCAAACTTGTTACTGATTAGATAAAGAGCAAAGCTAGAAATGGATAAGTTTCTGTATCTTGTAATGTTTATATTAGGTTCCAATAGATATTGCTTGCAAGTATGTTGGTTTGATCCACTGGTGACGTCTTATCTATATATGTCAGATAGTTTGCACCCTACTCTAAGACTTGAGCATACATCCAGGCTGTAACTTCAGTGCATTAGTGAAGGGGTATTGTTGATTTGTGCCATTTTCTTTCAGTCAAATATAATGCCAAGGTGACTGTGGAATCATAGATTGGTTGCATCACATAAAGAGTCCTTTTGGCCCTTTGTGTCCATGCTAGATCTCTGAAAAGCAATTCAGTTGTTCCTGTTCCTCCATCCTATATCCATTGCCCTGTAAATTGTTTCTCATCAGACAATGATTGAATTCAATTTTGAAAACCAAGATTGAATCTGCCTCTATCACACTCTCATTTATTGTCATGTATGTCACATTTGTATATTAATGTTTTCTTTATGTTGCCTTTGGTACTTTTATCATTCACTTTAAATTTCAGCCATTTGATTTTTGACCCATTAACGAGAACAATTTCTGTCTTTCCAGATCCCTTGTAATTTTGAACAGCTCATTCAAATCTCCTCACAATCTTCTCTTTAAAGAGCACAGTCCAGTTGTTCAAAGTATCCACATACCTCAAATTCCACAACTCTGGGACCATTCTCATCAATATTTTCTGTGCCTTCTCCAATGTCTTAAAACGTGCTGCCCAGAATTGGATGAATAAAATTCCAGTTTAGACCGAGCAGTGCTTTTGACCGAACATCCTTGCTTTTATATGCTATGCCTCTATTTGTGAAGGCTAGGATTCCATATGCTTTATTAACCCAATTTCTCGAATTGCTCTTTCCACATTGAGTAGTTTATACATTAAGACCTCAGGTTCCTCTGCTCCTAAAGCTCTTTCGTATTGTCCCTTCTTATTGCCTCTCCTTATTCTTTCTATAAAATTGTTATTCCTTTTTGTTAAATTGAATATAACTAATACAAGATCTTTGCAATTGTGACAATAGTTGTTTTTAGGAAGAAGCGTTGATACAGAAGTGCCAAGCAGTCTGCTAAAAGCCAAGAAAGTAAACAGCTTGTGAGGCCTTGGGTTTTTTTTTAAAGTTAGAGCGATAGAAGCAGCCTGAATGGGTGGGATCAAGCTCTTTAGTTTCAGCTTTCAGCAGTTTCTGGGCTCTTGAAGCTGGATGTGGAAGATGTTATTCCTTTCTCTGTTGTGGCTAAAAGCTGGAGCTCTCTTCCTGCTGTTGGAATTGCATGTGAGACAATCTATTTTATTGAATTTGCCTTTGCCAAGGATAGGTTTATGGGATGTTACTATATTGGAACAGTTAATTAGTTGTAGTTACTATATGTATTATTTTGTTAAGCATTTCAATAGAGTTACAGTTAAGCCAATTCATTTTTTTTAACTTTTATTTTGTCTGTATTTTAACTGTTGTGTAAAAATAAAGTGTGTTTTGCTTAAAGTCCAGTAGTTTGACCAGTTGTATTAAATCTGGAATGCAGCGCCTTACACTTACTTTTAAAATAAGAAAAAGTTAGGGTCTGGTCTATCGTCTTAATATATTTGGAGGGAGATTTGTCTGGTCCGTAACACAGTTCCTCCCAGTAACTTCACCACCAGCCTTTTTCTAAATAATGCAACCTTGAGCTACCTTGAGCAGCATCTAATCCTAATGCCCTTTCCACATGAATGAAATTAGCATTTGACCCAGTGTTGCATATGTGCCCTTGTATAAATACATTGGCTACTACCCAGAGTTGAACAGATTGTTGAGGTTGTCAACAACTTGATTTAGCCTAATAGAATGGCTGGGGAGGTGGGTGAATCTGTGCAGATTTTGGTAGGGCTGAAGATCATTGTGTTTTGGTAACAAATGTTTGGTAATCTTTTGATCCTATATGTTGGGCAAGTGATCTGTCAGACCAGTGGCTCTTGAAGGGTCTATTGAGAGATGAAGAAGTAGAGCTACATGTCATCAGTAAAGATGTCAAGTATGCCTTTTATGTGAATGATGTTTCCTGGGACTGTCAATGAGATGAGGAAGGGAGGCTGATGGCTGTAGTGAAGGATAGACTTTTTGGGCATGTGCTTTGTAGGACAAGGGGAAAAATCAGTGCTGAAAATACATTGATTACATTCAGATTTGTATGAACTCTATAATGAGCAGGTATTCTAATGGAATAGGATAATGGAAGGGAGTGTTGATGTCTGAAGAGATGGATCCATTAACATATCGGGGACCAGTAAAGCAATTACTATGGGTAATAAACAACGCAGAAAGCATAGTTTACAACATAGGCCACATTGGATACACTTAGAGTCTTCAAAGAAAGGAAAAAAGTAATAGATAAAAGTCTTGTATTTGTGTTTAAGAAGAAGTTTCCTGATAAATTTCAGCAATCCAATGTGAAGAACTTCAAAATTGACTTTATTAATCAGTATGCAATTTTGAATGCCAGATCATACACTGTATGGACTCTAATCCAGGATGCCTTTACAAAATTTAGGATTTCTGACTTTAGTTTTTGTATGTACATAACGAGGGTATGTGCGAACACCCCAAGGAAGTTCACAGGAGTACAATGAAATATATGTACCATTGAGTCACATTAGAAGATATTGGGACACAATGCCAGAGGTTAGGTTTAAAGATGTAAATTTTAAGGAGTGTCTTAATGGAGGAAAGCAAGGTAGAGAGGTACAAGAGGATAACCAGTGCTTGGTGGCTGAGGATGGGCAAAGTTCACATCCTAAGCTCAAATTGGAAAAAAAATGTAACTGAAGGTGTGGCCATCAATGGTGGAGGAATTAAAATTGGAATGCACCAGATGTCAGAATTAGGGAAAACAATCAAAATGAAGGACTGGAATTGGAGGGCATTACAGAGGTAGAGAGAAGTGACAGATTTGAACTCAAAGATGAGAATTTTAAAATCAACACATTACTTGACTGGGAGCCATTGTTGATCAAGGTAATAGAGGAACTGGACTTATTGTGATCCAAGCTATGAGCAGCAGAATTGTAAATAACCTCAAGTTTTAAGAGGGCAGAATGTGGGTGGTCAGCCATGAGTACCCAAGCATAATTGAGCCTGGAAATAATGATAGCACGAGTGAAATATTCAGCAGCAGATGAATAAGGTTGGGGTGTTCTGAAAATGGAAATAGGCAGTCCAAGTGATGCACAAATATAAGGGCAGAAGCTCATCTTAGGATCAAATGTGACACCAAGATTTCAAACAGACTGGCTTCACCTCAGACTATTGCCAGAGAGAGGGATGGAGTCATTAGCTGGGAAATGGAAACAGTGAGCATACTTACAACAGGTTTTGTTATTGCGAATATTGGAGAATATTTTTAAAATTCAATACTGGATGTTGGTTAGTTGGTCTGATAATTCAGCAACAGTAGAGACATTGAGAGAAGTGGTGGTGAGATCATATTATCATGAGCATACATAAAATGAACATTGTTCCTTTGGACAATGTAGCCAAGAGGCAGTTTGTAGATGAAAAATAGGTGGATCAATGATTGAAGTCTGGAGCCCAGAGTTCCTGGCAGAACCCAAATTGAACATCAGTAGGCATCAAGTGGTGAGTGCCTTTTGATGGCACTGTCAACAACCCCTTCCATCACTTTACTGATGATTAAGAGTAGGTTGGTTAGTGTGAATTGGCTAGATTGAAGTTTCCATGCATTTTTGTGGTTACAGCATACCTGGGCAATCTTCCACTTGTTGGCTAATTACTAATATTGTAACTGTACTTGAACAACTTGGCTGATGGCGTGGCTTTTGTGGAGCACAAGTCTTCAGTACTACAGATAAGACTTTATCATGTCCATAACATTTGCTTGATTAAGTGCGCCCAGCCTTTCCTTGATGTCTTTTAAATAAAGATGGTTGCAAACAAATGGCCTTGTCTTTTTCACTTGCCAGCAGGACTCCATCATCATTACAAATTGCATCGTATACGATCTTTCTCCTTCAATTAATTGCTTAATTGTCCACTGCCATTTCCAACCAAAAGAGACAAAATTGTAGGGCTGAATTCCTGTACTCGATATCTTGTACTAGAAATGTTAAGATGTTTATTACCTATTGTCATATGTCTGTAATCCTCAAATTGTAGCTTAAAAATTGGTTTTCAAGCCCATTATGATTGTTATATAAAATGTCACACCTGCTGTTACAATATATTTAAAAATGACAATGAAACACACTAAAATTGGAGTTCCAGCATCTGCAGTTCTTTGGTTGCTTTTAATAGTGTTAAAACTGTTTTGTTATTTGCTGTATGGTTTAACTAGATTTTCTATTTGTAAGGTTCTACAGGTGCTGCAGGCCCGAGACTTTTCACCATTCATCTGGTTGATGCCAACACAGAGAACCTTCCCAAAGCACATACGTGGTGAGTTTCTCTATTACCAATTGACAAGCTTCACACAGTAATCATATATCTTAAACCTGCTAGCCAATAACTTTCAAATTATATCGTTCAACCATAATTGATTATTGTATAGAACATCTTGTCTGATTTTTCAAAATGCTCAAAAATGCCAATGTACTGAGAATGAGTATTTATAGCTTTTGACAGTTCCTTTGTTTATAAATTGTATTTAGAGGCAACATCTTTATGAAAGCACCAATTGTGTGTCAATATTTTTAATGAATTGTTTGCCTACAGAAATGGCTTTCTTTGAGCTATAGCAGTGTTGTTCAGTTATGTGATTCTATTTTATTCTGTATTGTTGCTCCAAACAAGCTACTATTAAATATTGATTAAGTAGAATGATCTATTTAGCAGATTCTTCTCTGATCTAATGAATAATTATGCCTTTAGTCAAACTGTGACAAGCTAGCCATAGGACTATCCTCTCTCGAAAAGGCTGTGTCATTTTTTTATTCTTTATTCACGGGATGAGAGCATTGCTGACCAGGCAGAATTTTTTTTTCCACCAATCGACAATGTTTTCATTAAATTCCTAATTCCAGATATTTCATTGAATTCAAATTCCACCATCTGCCATGGTGAGATTCAAATTCGGGTCCCCAGAATATTATCTGGGTTTCTGGATTAAGAGTCCAGTGATAATACTACTAGGCCATTGCCTCCCCCTTCATTTAGAATTCGTTTTATTATCTAGATGGATTAGCTAGTTTATTACATAGATCACAGATAAATGTAATCACCTATGACAAATATTGTCTCCATGTATGTTCACTGACTGTTCCCTTTCTCTTCAGCTTTAACCGTATAGACATTCCTCCTTATGAATCCTACAAAAAGCTTTATGAGAAATTATTGACAGCAGTTGAGGAAACTTGTGGCTTTGCAGTGGAGTGAAGTACGTGAATATTTGCTTTGAAGCTGTTGGGAACACTACAAAAATGAAGTTCTACGAGCTTCTCGTTGAGCAGCGCACGTATGCCTGGGAGAACTAACAATTTACTCACATGGTTACTATAACTTATAAGTAACATAATGATGCTGATCAACTCAGAAATGGAAAAGTGGTAGGATTTCTAAAAAGCAACCTTGGAAGTTCATAAGTGAAAAAGATACTGTATCTGTAAGACAGAAAATGGACCTGTTTCATTGTAATATACATTTTAAGTTGTGTGCTTGAAACTTTATTTCAAAAAACTTTGCACAGTGAAAGATGACAGATCCTTGCACATTTCACTTCCCTTAATTCCTGTCTTTTTTTATTCAACCCCACCTCAAAACAGTTGTCCAATGGAAACTTTTCATTCTTTCAGAACGTGAAACTGGCATTTAGAAATACTGGATGTTAAATGAGAAATAGCTCTGTTTATAGCTACAGTATTCTTTTTTTTTTAATCAATTCTTTCAGTGCAGGCAGTAGTTATATTTGCAGTGTGATTTAATTAAATCAGATTATTTTTAACCTATATTTTGTTAAAAGAATTATATTCCTCCACAGTATGCTGAGTAACTTTTTAAGAATATTTACAAATATATATAAACACAAAAAAAGCTTAGCTCTAATAAAAGTGAACTTCTGAGTACTGAAATCACTTTTGGCTCTAAAATTCAAATTGCAGTCACATTAAAATGTTTGTTCTAAGAACATTGAACTAAGAAATTCTGTGAATCTGTGTATTCCTGGAATTCATTTTATAATGTACATAAAATAGAATATCAGTTTTACAGAATTTAACTTGTAAAAAATGTCTGCATACATTGAAGCCTGAAAGTATCTTTCAGTACTTGAAAGATTAATCCACAAATGTTGTTTCCATAGGAGTCCAGTGTTGAAGAATTGGGGGGTGGGGGAGTGGCAGGGGAGGTGAAGAAATAACATGCACTGTTTATAGTGAATGGTGCTTTACCAAGTCCCTTTATTTTATAAATGTGGCTTATCTGTAAATCTGTTTGTTTTTTTCACCTTTCATGTTCTCTGCTAAGGTGGGAATCTGCAATGTTAATCTTTGACAAAATGCTCCAATCTTATAAACAAAAATCAAACTTAAGTTAAGAAGTCTTTGTATGTTGACAGTTGCATCTTTTCTTAATAACTTTCTGCATCTTCTACAAATTCTGTCGGTTTGGTCTTTTGTTAAATTTGTACTTGCTTGAAAAATTATTTCAAGACATCTTAAATTAATTAGAAATATTTTTAGAAACCTGAGTAAGTGAAGAGGAAATCATTGAAATTGTAATCAAAATGTTGACTAATTTAAACAGAGTACTGCAGCTTTAAACAGAAATGATTCCTGAGTTAGTGGGGACCATTGTTTTTGAGTTTGCTAAGTTGTGTACCTTGTATTTCAGACGAAAATTGCGTGACCCCAAACTAAACCAACTTGATGAGATCTAAGGGATAACTGGCTGTAGAAGTTAATAGCTATTCATATGTTCAGTAACTTTTAGGAATGTGACGAATGTTGTCTGTTTTAAGCCCAACACTACTCAGTTCTGGTTTTGAGAAAAATCATGTTGTCTCATTAGTACCTTTCCTATATGTCTTTTGATTGTTACTGAAAATGACTGATACTTGCTCTTAAGGTGTTTTCCAAAATGTATTTTAAAGAAGAGATTGTTGTACGTTTTTTTATAATTCAGGATAGGATATCCACATTCACCAGAAGAATGGCTTTAAATTCAGAAATATGATTGTGTTGAATGAATGTTGTGTAAATTCAGAAAAGTCTTATTACACTGGTTGATGTTACACAATGAAGGACAGACCACATTTAATCCCTTAAAATTCAGAAGGCATGAAATTAATTTCCTTGACGGAAACAAGGATTGTATCTTTTGCATTATTGAAGATACCTGAAATCTTATCATCTCAGGTAATAAAATTGTGATAACTTCATGTATAGGATTTTCAGTGTATTTAATAATTCTTCAAAGGGGATTTCATTCCACAGAAATTATAAAACAGTTACAGTTTCACAGCAGTTCATGCTCAAGCACAAGGTTTGAGTGCCATCTAATTTTGAATACTTGTCAGACATCAGAAGGTACTTCTCTGTTTTACTCTTTGTATTTTAGTTCAAATACATTTAAAGTGCATTTTCAAAATAGCAGTGAGTATGGACAGGTCTGTCAGTGTTGTTTTGGTAATTGGATTGTCAATACTGTAATGTTCTAATACTTAAGCTTTTGAAAAACCTATATTGGGCTTCTTCGTGTTGTAATCAAAGCTGGTCAACAGAAGGGTCTAAAGCATGGCTTCTCAAAGTATGGGCAGTGACATCCAGTGGGATTATAGGTCAACATTTTGAGGCCTTAAGATCCTTGGCAGCAATGCTGACTGCAAGCTCTGACCCAGTGCTAATAGCTGCAAGCCCCTTTTAAACCCTCACTTTTTTTTCCCATTGCAGCTGTGATCAAAGTGGCTGATTTTTGAGGCCTGATTCCTGTTTAGAAAAACTTAGTGAGAAGCTAAGTGCTTTTCAGTTCAAATCCCTGCAGTTTAAATAGGCTCTCACAGGCCTCTATCCTGCCTCCATTCTCACAGCTGTCTCTATACCTCCCCTGCACTCATAGGCATCGCTACCCTGCTCTCATTCCCTGCCCACATCCCTTCTCTAAAATCTCACAGGCCTTGCCTACTTCCCCCGCCCCCCCAAAAACACACACACACACACACACACACACACAACCATGGCACAGGCGCAGGAGGACAATCTAGAAGCCTCAACAGGGGAAAACATGCTTGGGAAGTACTACTCTAGAGCAATTGCAATTAGGCCATTTATTTGGATAAGCAATACTAGAAAATAAAGCATGTGAATATGAATCCTTTGTTCTTTGTCTTACTGACAAACAAATATTTGTCTTACTGTAATATTTTAATTCAGTAAACAGGCACCTGTTTGTAGCATTGATCACTTAACTGTCCAAGTTAATTACTCAATATATTTTAGTTTTTAGTGCATCCCACAATGCAGATTTTTAAAATTGGACATATTGAATTGGCAAATGTTTATTTCATTTCTCATTTGTATGATGCTTCAAAACAAAAGAAGTAAGGGTGATTTTTTGATTTAAAAGAAACACTTTTGTCACAAATCTGAGCCATGAATAAACAATATTCAGAGACACATTTAAATTGATACCAACTTTGAGGATATTACCACATATTTAAATGTGAACTCCATCTTCTGAAAATGTTTGTTGACAATTGATATGAAGTTGACATGACCTGTTTCAAAAGTTATACTGCAAAGAACAATCTGTTATGTTTAACACACATTCATCCATTTGGTTAATGTTGCTTAGTGATGCAACACTTCTTCAGATACTGATCTGTGACCCTCAATGATTAAGAAGCTGGGCTTTCTGCCTAAAGTTCATTGGTAACTATAATGTGACGTGTTGTATACAAATGGAATTAAATGCTATGTTTATAAATTGGGACATTTGTACTATAAATATACTAACTAGCAACACTACAGTTTTCACATTTCAAGGCACAAAAATTACCATTTTTTATGGCTGGACGTCTGCCTGTTTGGGAGAAGTTTTATTGACATACCCTGCATAAAATTGGGAAGTTATGAAATACCTCAACACTGTACAAATACAGTTTTAAACCCTGTAGTACGATATGACTTAACTTTCTTTTTCTTCTCCCCCACTGCACCCAACGAACCAAGCTAAAGATAACATAAAATGAGTTAGGAAACCCATATCAACGTTTCTGTTATAAATGTTTAATGAAGACACTTTCAAGAATGACGGTATTCAAGAATTGTATTCTTGAAATAGTTTTAATCCCATGGTAGAAATGTATATTTTGCATTAAGCTTTTAAGTTATAAATTCAGATTGTAATTCTGGAGCATAAAAATGCATCCAAGAGTAGTGATTCTTCATTCGACAAATAAATGGCTTCCACAAATAGCAATTCATTTACAGAGGACACAGCGATGACAGAAGATTTAAAGATTTGACATTATAGCACTTTGAAGTTGAAACACTAATATCCAGAGCTCCTAAGTGAGTGAACATAAAATTTGGTGAAGTATTTCAAATTAACAGTCAGTTAAATACAGATTTCTGTTTTGTACTTAGATTGGCAATAAAGGAGAAACTTGTTTTGGACATTTCAAATAAATGAAGTGAGTGGACTTCAGGAGAAGTATTGGTAGTTGGGTGTGGAATTAGCTATTGCATAACCACATTAGAAGCAAAAGCGTTTTACTAATATAGATTTTATGAAGAAAATCCAATGTTACTACCCTGGAACAAGGGAATGTATGGATTCCATGCAAACTAAAGCTTAATTTACCTTGGTTATGGAAAACACTTTTTACAAGTCTGCATCATCTTCATTTTGCTATTTTGTTGGAGAATAGGGGATGTGAAGAACTTAGTTGCAAGTTGATTTTTAGATTTCACTTTTTCCCCTGAATTAGAATATGACAAATTCACAAACAAACAGTACTCTTCTAAAGCTTATAAATAAGACAAAATATTTTTTAATGGGAAAACTTGGTATTTTATGCCACATAATAGAACAATGCCAATTAAGCATAAAAGAACTTGCATTTATGTTGCATCTTGTGCAACATCAGGTCTCCCAATGAACTAAATAGGCAATAAAATACTTTAAGTATTGTAGGAGATGCAGCAGCCTGATACCTCTGGGAAATGCTAGAACTTTCAAAGTAAAGGCTGGGACAGAGATTAATTGTGAACCCATTTACCACAAATTAATGGCCCACTAACCTTGAGCTTGTTAATGGGCTGGGATGGACCCAAAGTTTAATTTTCAATAAGCAAAATGCCAAACCTGAGCAATCTGGTTCACTTTAGTTCAGAGCTGTCAGGCTTAATTAGAGACATTTACATAATATTTATAGAGATCAAAATGTTTTACCACTGTGGGTTTTGTTTTGGTTTGGCTGTTTGGTCACTTCAGCCCACAGTGAGGTTGCCTACCCCCCAAATGTTCTACACTGTTTCTTTTGTAAGGTAGCAGAACACCCCATCATGGCTGATGTCTACATATGACACATTGTACTCAGCAGGCAGCTTCTACTTCCTGGCAGGGCATGATGCCACAGATTATGTGCTGAGCTCACCCCCAGCCCAATTAGGGTCTCTACATGTGAAGATTGTGTTGGTCAGATGGTGCAGATACATTGCAGGGTCAGGACCTTGAAATTATCCAGACTTCAGGGTTCTTGCTCTGGATTGAAAACAAACCAATTGACTAAAATGGAAGACGATTTGAAGTCTTTGCTGTAGGGAATTTATGTTGATTTGCTAAAACCCAGTTTGCACAAAAATCATTGTATGAGTCCAAATAAGTGTCACTACTGGTATAGAAAACCAAGAGAGAAGACAAACGTCCTAATATTTGGCTGTGGTTACCAGATATTCTTGTATTATAAGAGAAATATCTCGGTGGACAGTGGCTCTTCAGTTGGGAGGCAGGCAACCTCACTGTGGGCTGAAGTGACCAAACAACCAAACCAAAATAAAACCCACAGTGGTAAAACATTTTGATCAAAATAAATATTATGTAAATGTCTCTGAATTAAACCTGACAGCTCTGAACTAAAGTGAATCAGATTGTTCAGGTTGGCCTCTCAGAGCCAGGGATCCGGGTTCGATCCCATCTTCAGGCAACTGTCTGTGTGGAGGTTGCACATTCTCCCTGTGTCTGCATGGGTTTCCTCTGGGTGCTCCGGTTTCCTCCCAAGTCCAAAGATGTGCAGGTTCGGTGGATTGGCCATGCTAAATTGCCCAATGTCCAGGGGTTTGCAGGCTAGATGGGTTAGCCAAGGCGGAGATAGGGTAGGCGGGTGGGTTTGGTAAGGATGCTTTGAGGGTTAGTGTGAACTCTCTGGATTGAATGGCCTGCTTCCACTCTGTAGGGATTCTGTGAAATGCCTTTCTAGTTGAACTCGAGTTTTGATTTTGTTTAAATACCTGTACTTTCTTTGAAATAGATCTTCACTGCGCTCAAGCCACTACTGATAGTAAAAAAATCAGTCACACGGTATGGGCGTGTTATTAAGCTTTCTAGAAATTATGCAATAAAAGGTCTTGCTTGGCAATGTATGTTGGGATGTACTTTCAGATATTGTAAAACTCAAAATCATGTTCTGTCCCCTTTTTTATGATATAGTATGATGATGTCTGGGTTTTAAATTTAAAATTCTTCTGGCCCATGTTCCAGAGCTTTGAAGAAGAACAGAGGTATTTTTCTTCTGAATAATTTGCATAGTAATGTATTTCCAACTGAAACATTACAGTACAACTACATTGAAAAATTATGTCATAGAGACTGACTAGCTGATTTGTTATTATTGTATTTTTGCTTTTACTTTCAATCTGTGCTTTTCTGAGATTAAGGGTATAAATTGGTAGAGACTAGTCACCAGGGATGTGGATTGTATGGCCTGAGGTGAATAATCTGCACTTCCTCCTCCATTCAGTACGATGCACAAGATATAATGTTTCTTTCCACAAGGGAACTTAATCTTAGACATGAAATAAGAAATATTGAAATGGTTGGAGTTTCAATGGCAAGCCGTCCGTGATACTTCCAAGCAGTCTTTTTGAATGTAGTCATTCACTTCTTCCGTAGACGTGTTAGTGATCCCGTGGTTGTTTAATTAACATGTCAATATTATTTGCGAAAGGGGAATACGGAAAGTAAAACCGAGAACCTATCTGTCTCTGACCTGGTGCATCGGCTCCTAAATTAATCCAGTGCTTTATGAGAAGCTTAAAATGTAATGTAATTTGGACTGTGACAATGGCCTTTAACCCCTCATCCCCTTTGCTTCTTCTTTTTCCCAACTTGAAATGAGTAAACTATTACCTCTGAACACTAATGGGAATTGTCATAAAGCATTTCTTTTAGTAGTTGAATTTTGCCGTGTACAATGGACCACCTCTTATCCGATAGAAATATATTCTCATCACACACTTTCGTCTCTTTAGTTAGAAATGATATTTGATAGAAATGACCACACACTGCTTAAAAAAAGCAGTGACACCTTTATTATATCCCGTTTATGAGAAGAAAAGACAAAATTAATAGAAATTAGTCTTTTAAATTTGGTTTTAGATTAACAGCTGATCCCTAAAACGTTCTCAACGATACTGCCACTGGTGTGTTGTAAAATTTCCCCAGATGATGTGTTGTGAAACTTATGCTGTACTATTATTAGTGTAGAATTTAATGTATGGTGAACTTGTAAGAATGGAGCAAGACTCGTATGTTGTCGCCTTGTATTTGAAATACAAGTCTTGCTTTTTATCTTCTTATAAGTAGTATGGTTTGGCTATACTGATGGTGGAATAAAGAAGAAATGATGGAAAAACTTGAACTCAGATTTCAATGAATAGATTGCCACATTGGGAAATTAGATCTTTCAATATCAATGATCCAAAAATAGAGGTGGTGTTGACAGTTCTGTTGACAGTCATTTCTTAACCCTCAGTTACCAAGTTCTCCAGCTACCCAATGTCCATTGGCTCAGACAAGGATTTATCAAATAGGTCACAAATATACTGATAGATTAATTTCCGGACACTGGCAGCTAGGGTGATGTGATGTAAGTAGTTACCAGTGAAAGCCCATTGATGATAACTTTGTCTTGAAGCTATTTTAATCCTTTGGTTATGCATTGTAAAACACTAGCATTGCACAACTAATCTCACTAATTAAACTAGGGATATGAGCATTGACTGTAAAATTCAGCGAATTTTTATTAAACATGTTTGGTTAAAAAAAACTGTATTGCCACATCAAAAAAGTTATCACAGAATTTTCTACATTTGTCTCCTGAATTTCTACAATGATAGGAATGATATTATAATAATCATAGTCTCATTAATTTTGGAAGCTGTCATACTAGCCAGCTTTATTTCACTATTCATTCTTTTATTGCAATTTGAAAAATGTATATGCGATTTCTTAAATTACTTGCAGTTCCTTGAACCCTCCAACTTTTGCTACAATACGCTTGTACCTTTGTCATCTAATAAATACTTGTAGAACTTTACCTGCAAGAGTTAGAGGTTCTACTTTGACTTTTGCAGGGCTGGGGGGATTGAAATCAGATTTTGTAATAAGGTATGAAAATAGCACTCCTTAAGATGATGATGCCCTGGTGGTCTCATGGTTCAAAGTTGCTTTCTTTGCTCCAATCTTGAAAAACACCAGGCTTCTACACAAGAGATCTGTCCCTTTTTATGTTTTGTTTCTCTGAAATAAACCTTTTGCAAGTTAAATTGTTTTGACATATTTATTAACAAGTAACTAATCGGAGAAAAATTATTGCTGTTTTACCTTTTTTTCATTGTTGCTGCTAAAGTCTTACCATCTTAGTACCAGTTTTGTTCTGAACAATGTGCAAAATCTTTGTTTTAACTGTGAATTGAAGTATTTTTAATTGTTGATGGTATTGAATAAGGTATGGATTTAATTTGATGGCTGACAATTGAGAAGATGTTGAACTCGAGACCACACTTTGTTTTTGTTACATGCAATAAAGTTCAAACTTTAAACATCTCTACTATTCTGAATTGCTCATTTTGATATTTTCTGCATTTAAAAACCGAAACAGTTAGATTAAAAAAAACCTTAAAATTTAATAATTATACAAAAGGCTGTATTGAGTTTTATTTTAAGCTTTTTAAAAACACATTATTCACTGTGAACTGGACTATTCAATATGTTAGATATTGAATATTATTTGTCCACTCTTAATTTAGTCAACTAGGAAAAAGCCTATTTATTCTTTTTCCATCACAGCATTCAGCAGTTAAATGATCCCAGTCCTTCTCCCGCCACCATTTTACTTCAAAGTCCACTTCAGCTACAGATCAACCTTTGTATAAAAGTTTTAAATATTCATGAAATCATCCAAAAGTATACTTACTCCCACATACAAATGAACAACAACTGTATTTACCCTGTCACCACTGGTCTTGATCTCACTATTGTCTCTAAATTATTATCTGACATCCAGTGCTGGCTAAGTAGAAATTTCTCCCTATTAAATGTAGGGAAAACTGAAGTCATTATCTGCTGTCACCACTACTGTTTCACCCAGCTGAACGACAATGGCACCAGGACAAACTCTGCTCCTTTACCATTGACTACATCTCTCTCCTTGTCAAATGATGCTGAACCAGATTATTTTCAAGCTCAGTATCACATTTGACCCTGAGTTGTTTTCAATACATATCTGCACCTTTGCTGAGAGTGCCTATTTCATCCTTTGTACTTTTTTTTAATAAATTCATTGGATGTGGGCTTTGCTGGTGCGGCCAGCATTTATTGCCCAGAGGGCAGTTAAGAGTCAGCCATATTGCTGTGGGTCTAGAGCCATATGTAGGCTGGACCAGGTAAGAATGTCATATTTCCTTCCCTGAGGACATAGTAAACAAAAATAACAACAGTCAACAGTAGTTTCACAATCGCATTGGGCTAGCTTTTTATCTTAGTTTTTTTTATTGTATTCAAATTTTGCCATCTGCCATGGTGAGACTCAGACCCATGTCTACCGAACAATAGGTTAGTGTTCTGGATTACTAGACTGGTGACATTACTATTACAACACCACCTATCCTTTGTTGCCTCTGGATGTCTCAGGTCTTCTGTTGAAACTCTCATTGAATGCTTTGTTACCTCCAAGCTTGACTATTCTCTTGGCTAGCTTCCCCTATTCTATCCTCTGGAAAATTGGGGTCATCCAAAAGTCTGCTGTCCATGTGCTAACTTGTACCAAATTCCATTTACACGTCACATTTATGCTCATTGACATATATTGGTCCCCACCTTGACTTGAAAAATGTTTAAATAAAACAAAGTCCTGATGAAGAGTGTTTCAGAGATAGTAGGAACTGCAGATGCTGGAGAATCTGAGATAATAAGGTCTAGAGCTGGATGAACACAGCAGGCCAAGCAGCATCAGAGGAGCAGGAAAGCTGACGTTTCGGGGTATATTTCCGGAGGGAGGAGGGTACGTTCTTCAAGGTAGGCATCCTTAGAAGAGGCTTCGCAGTGGGGCTAAAATTGTTTCAGAGATAGTAGGAACTGCAGATGTATATTTCCAGAGGGAAACATCAGCTTTCCTGCTCCTCTGATGCTGCTTGGCCTGCTGTGTTCATCCAGCTCTACACCTTGTTATCCCTGATGAAGAGTCACCAGACTTGAAATGTTAACTCTGCTTCCTTCCTACAGATGCTGCTAAACCTGCTGAGTTTCACCAGCAATTTCTATTTTTGTTTCAAAAACGTTCATCCTAGTTTTCAAATCTCTCCGTGGCCTTCCACTTTCCATTTCTGTAATCTCCACCGGTCCTATAAACCTTTGAGATGTCTGTGCTCTTCTTAATTCTAGCCATTTGAGAATTCCCAATTTTAATTGTGGCACAGTGTCTACCCCTTCAGTCGCCTAGGCCCTAAGCTCTGGCATTCTGCTAAACCTCCTGACCTTTCCACTTTGCCTTCCTTCTTTTAAGGCACTTCTTAAAACCCATTTCATGGGTCAAGCTTTTGGCCATCTTCTCTAATATCTCAAATAAAGGCAAAATACTGCGAATGCTGGAAATCTGAAAAAAAAACAGAAAATGTTGGACATACTCAGCAGGTCTGACAACATATTTGGAGGGAGAAACAGAGTTAAAGTTTCAAGTCATGCATCGCTTCTTCAGAAGTCACGCGAGACTTGAAACATTAAATCTGTGTCTCTCTTCATGTATGTTGCCAGACGTGCTGAGCTTCTCCAGCATTCTCTGTTTGCAAGAACATCTTTTTATGTGAGTTCTGTCATTATTTTGTTTCATAATGCCTCTCTGATGTTTCTAAAACTAGAGAGCAGCGAAAAGAATTTTTAAGTGGCACCAATCTGCAAATATTCATGTTCTTTTATGTTGCAACTTGAGTCCCAATGACATTAACAGTGAACTCCGAGTGTTTCCCACTCTAAGGAGCTGAGTTTATTGTGCCCTCTATTATTCATGAATACTTGGCTAAAATTTTCCCAACTTCGTCCTAAGCCAAACAGCAGAACAATTTATTGTTGACAGTTGGAGTTGGCTTTCCCAAGGCCCTTTAACTGAGCCATAGATTTAGCCTCCTACTTCCAGGTTCTTCAGTCAAGCAGGGAGCATGAGATCATAGATAACACAGTGAGGAGCTGGAAGAACACAGCAGGCCAGGCAGCATCAGAGAAGCAGGAAAGTTGATGTTTTGGGTCTGGACCCTTCTTCAGAAGGGCCTCTCTGAAGAAAGGTCCCAACCCAA